TGAGCGCAGAAAGTGGCCGTCGTTAGGGCCACGCCGCCCCCGACGGGCTCGCTTCGCTAACAATTCAAGCAATAGGCAGGAAACACAAAAGAAAAACATACACTTTTTGTTTTGTATCCCAGAAAACCAGATGTTGGCGCATCACCGGCTGTTGCTAATGTGGAGATGCGCACCACTGCGCTGCTGCTGCTGCGCCACACACACACGTGAAACCGTACGGCCGTCGCTGCTTGCGGAGACGCCGAGGCCCCGAAGGCGTGTACCCGCGCATCGGCAGTGGAGACAAGGAGACCTAATCTCTGGTAATAGGCCTCTCCTTCGTGCAGTGATGCGGCGGCGAAATGCAGCGCCTCCCTGCGCCGAACTAGCGACACCTCATTGCATTTTGGGCACGCCAACACGCATCATCGCTGGAATGCGCTGCGCACCGGCTCCTCACATAAACCGGCCACCGCCCCCCCCATTCCCAATGACGCAAATTGCAAACAGTCCAAAACAGGGCGTCACGTGGCGGCCTGGACAGCGCACCTCTCTTCCCATTGGCACTCAACCCCCCTCACCCCCGCCTTAAAAGGCGTCGCAGCGCTTTTCTTCGGCGCACGCACAGTAGCACCCCAAGCGTCCCGGCTGGGCGCAGTACGCCGGCGCATCCCTGGGGCATGCCTCTCGGCGTCCCAAAAAGACGCCGGCGACGACACTGCCTGCCTGCGTGGGTCTGCCACCACCCTCCGCCATAAGGGTATCCATCAAAACAACACTGCGGCGAGCAAGTCAGAAAAGGGTGCCTCTCACCTATCAGCTACGCCACCAACGAAGCTGGGCATCGAGCAACCTACGTGGGCGTGGGCGTGCGCTAGAAGGAGAGAAAGAATAGCAATAGTAATAGCAATTCCATCCGCAAAGGCACACGCGCAGCTGCACACAAACGCATCCTTCGAGTAAGCTCGTGGCCCGCCCTCACAGAGCCGCACGTCGTTCCTTTTTTCTTTTCTCTGTTCTATTTTTCCTCACCTTTGAAATCCCCTCTTGCCCGTCCATCTCCCCTCGACCTCCACCCGCGTCATCCTTTCACGCCCCTGCCACGCCAGCCACGCCGCCCGGGCACGCAGCTGCTGGAGTAGGAGGAGAGGGAGGAAGACGGCAATGGGGAGGGAGCAAGGCGCGGCCGTGTCCCGGGCAGCAACTCAAAAACAATAAGGAAAATCCGTCTTCGTTTTGACTTCCTCCGAAAATCATGCTAAATAAATCCGAGTCACACGCCGCACCCAACCCACAATCCTAGCAAACCTAAAAACAAAAACCTCAAAAAGCAAAAATAACAAAACTGTAGCGAAAAGAAAATATGCTGCCCACAAACGTCGCTCCTCTTAATTTTAGCCCTTTAATGCATCTGTGTGTGTGTGTGTGTGTGTGTGAAGGAGAAAAAGGAGATATTCGCCGCACTCTTTTCCCTGTTTAAAATGCTGCAACGCATCTGCTTCGCTGCAGTCACTGGCTGCTTCCCTCACAGGGAATGAAACCCCAAAACGGCAGGGATGACACATGCAAAGAAGAACAGAAGTGCTTAATGGAAAGAACACTCCATGCTAGTCCTATAACGAGACAAAAAATGAAAATTCGCTTCCATTTACTATCAACCCATGTATCGATTGTCACCACAAAGCGTTTATCTCCTTCTTAGTTATTGTTTCTTTTCTTCTCGAAGCTGGGGGTGTCCTGCTTCCGCCCCCACCGCTTTGGCTGTTGTGTTCCTCTTGTGTCTCAAAAAGAAAAGTACTTGGAAATGTTCTTCAAGAGCAGCAAAAAAAAAAGACGTCATATTTTTCCCGCATTTCCATTCTGTTCGGTTGATTCGCACGGCCTGAGCCGCCCCATCCCCTCTCTCTCGCACACACGTGGACACCCCCGTCCTCTCTGTGCCGCCGGGGAGGCGGCCGGCTACAGGTAGTGCAGCTTGGTGCGCAGCTCCCTTGGAAGCTTATCGACGCCGCGCAGGTACACAAACTTCCGCGCGTACTCCGACGCGCACTTCAGCGGCAGCGGCAACGGGAGGCTGTCCGTCTTGTTCGGGTACAGAAAGCACATTCCATACAGGAGCGCCTGAATCTCCGCCAGCGGAAAGTTCGGCTTCCGCCCCAACACGGCGTAAAACGTGGCGCGCGCGTGGCCAAGCGTGCAGTTCGCCCCGTTAAGAAAAAATGACTCGCCAAACTTCGAGTCCGTCCCTTCCCGCGTCACAAAGCCGCGTGGGACATTGCAGAGCGTATCAGGCTCCTTGGGTGTGACGGCCGCAAAGCGCGTGTGTTGGTAGCGCTGCGACGCCACGACTCCCCAGAGGACGTTGCCTTTTAAGGACCCACTAAGCAGGTCCACGTCGTGCTCCTTCGCCGACAACAGCTCGCCCTCGGAGGCGCAGCCACGGAGCAGCAGCACCGCGGATGTCTGCAGACCCCTGTCCAGAAAATGGCGCCGCGCCTCGTCCAAGAAATCCCTCAGCTTTCCCGAGAGCACCTCGGAAGGCATGGAAGCCTTTTCCGACACCGTCGAGCCCTCCGTCTGCGGGCTCTGGGCGAACAAACTTCGCTTGCGGCCATCCACGTGGTAGTGGTTGCAGTACGTCTCCCACCGCGTCCCACAGACGTGAAAGGCCACAAAGGCCACCGTGTAAACGTCCTGTTCGAGTGTTGCTTCCTCGGTGCGCAGCTCTCGCAAGTCCCTTCCAATATCGGCACCAATGATCAGTACTCCTGCGGATCCTATTTTGGACGAAACTGACGGGCACAATTTATTGATGTCCAGCACCCAATTCAGCTGCCCGCCTTTTGCACTCACCTGCTGCGCCACCGCCATGACAATCGGTATTTCCCGCGGCCCAGAGAGGTCCTTCACGACGACCTGGCTCAATAGGTCTTTATTCGTCCACGTTGCTTTCAGGCTTCTGTACACATCCTTGTCAGGGCGGCGCAGAAAAGCAAACGCGAACGCGTTCTTGGACGCGAGTTTTTTGGCGTCGTTCAAACTAGCCACATGCTGAACATGTTCCGGCCTCACGCCGGAGTTCATCTTCGCCAGCTGGTTTTTAATCGCTTCCAATACCTGAACCCCCTGTTGGGATTCATCGTATAGCACAACCTCCATGGATTTCCGGTCGCCCGGATGCCGCAATCCTCCGAGCTCGCGGACGAAACCTTGCTGGGTGTTTCCTCCAAGAGTCTGGACTGTTTTGTACCCGTTTGCTTGTGGAACAAGCACCTCAATGGGCGGCAGCACATTTCCATTGACGGTGAAGAAGTTTTCTCCAAGCGAAATTCCATAGGAATTTAGCATTTTTATTGCCTTACCGTCGCTCTCTTGTTTGAGGCGCCCTATCGCTTTCTTGACCCGTTGCATGCGCTCATTTGGGTAGAGCGAACAGAGCAGCGGCAGCTGCCGTCGGTCCTGTTCACTAAGCGACATCTCGTACAAAACCTCCGGCGGCACCAGTACCTTCTTGCCCGAGCTCGTACGGCACTTGAAGAGTGTCTGCTCGGGCATCAGCTGCAAGCCGTACTTTTGGGCAAAGTACTGCACGAAGGTCTGATCGGGATCCTTCCTCAGTTCGGCAGGCTCCTTCGCCTTTTTGTCCGAGATTTCAAGCACGGTGTAGACCGCGCCACGGTGGCCGTGAAATATGGTACACACCTTTTTCCTTGCGAAACGCTCGGCAATAGCCCTGTTGACGCCTCGTCGCTCACGCCGTTTCACGTCTTCGAGAAGTTCAAGGCAATTTTGCGCCGACGCAACGGACACCAACGCGTCCAGCTGCAGCGCCGCCACCTGCGCCCCCTTCACCGTGGTGGTCACCACCTTTGGCACCACACAGTCAAAGGTGGCAATGCGTCCTCCAGGGGCCGCCGTGCCTGCCCGGATGTCCACGTACTTTCCGCCCATCTTTTCGCCGAAGCAGACCTGTACCGCCTTTCCGACAACAGAGTTCACCTCGTTTCTGTACTTTTCGCCGTCCATAGTGATGACGTCCGGTCTAGCGATCGTCACAACATACGATTGGGTGCGGTTGCCTTTTCTTGACTTTACGCTGAATTCGTGCTTGAACTCCTCGATGGGGAGTCGTTGCGGAGACAGAATGCATTGCCCCGTGCAAACACACAGATCAATGTCAAAGCTTTTGTCTGCAGGCGCCTCCTTTCGCATCCTCCGCAGAAGTTCCTCGGAGGCCCGTTCCTTCAGGCCCTCCTGCAAATCCGGGGCCCCATCCTTCATTTCGTAGGACAAAATGTACGCAAACACATCCTTCTTGGGGTCAAACTTGATTGGAATCATGTTGCAGGTGGCCTCCAGGGGGCAGTTGTACTTCTTATCCCTGGCGAAGTCAACGATGGCGGATTTTTCTCGGTCCTGATTTTGGAAGCGGTCGCCGCCACCGCCGCCTCGCCCGCCGCCACGTCCACCAAAATCTCCGTAGCCCCCTCTTCCGCCCCGGCCACGATACCCCTGCGCATCACCGCCACCGCCCCGGCCACGATACCCCTGCACATCGCCGCCACCGCCCCGGCCACGATACCCCTGCGCATCACCGCCACCGCCCCGGCCACGATACCCCTGCACATCGCCGCCACCGCCCCGGCCACGATACCCCTGCACATCACCGCCACCGCCGCCTCGCCCGCCGCCTCGTCCACCAAAGTCCCCATAACCTCCTCTTCCGCCTCTGCCACGTTGTGCTTCCATCTTTTTTTTCTCTCTAGGCTTTGTATTTTGTCTGGAACGTCAAGTGAAGTCGCGGAATTAGCAAGCACTAACAAGAGTAAACTAATGAGGAAGATAAAGAGGAGTTTATTATTATTATTATTCTCCACATGAAGAGAAATCAAGGCACATTGAGGCCCCTAAGCCCCTAAAATGACAATAGCGCCGCTTCACATATTTACTGGTGGCCAGGGCCGCGGTGCACATGCGCACGCCGATGCGTATCCGCAACCCACTACCATTACTATTGTCCACAGCACAACCCGAGGTTTCTTCGTTTAAAATGTTGGCAATTAAGGAGGCATATCTCCCCCTCCTGGGGATTCAGGCTCCCGCAAAAGAAAAGACGCAGCAGCAGGCACGGACGGAAAAACGGACGCCCTCGCCAAACAAAGAGAAGTTCCACAGAAAAAAAAAATAGTAATAATAAAAGTAATAATAAGCAGGACCCAATCTTTAGCACGTTCCTTTTTTTTTCTTTACTTTGCATGCTTGACTTTTTTCCGTTGTTTATTCGTAGGCACGTGGGGAAGGGGGGGGGGATACGGAGAAATCCGGCGGTTAGCACAAGACAAGACATACGTGGCTGGCGTTTCAGCCCATGTGGTTTGCGCGGGGGCGTGGAAGAGGGTGCATGCGTGCATCCATACCGCAAACAAACAAACAAAAATAAAAAATACGGCTTAAGCCCCATAGTAGAGAAGGAAAACTAAAAGTTGGATGCAGCAAAAAGAGAACTTCGAGGCGCACTAAGAAATTACCTTGCCGTGCTCCCAGCTTCAGTCAATTTCCCTGCTGCCAACTCAAAACATGAAAAAGAAGCATCGCATAAGCTCATAAAGAACACCACAGATCGATGCAGTCCATTTGCATATAAAAATTAATGGGACAGTACAACATAATAAGTC